GGATAAAACCTACAGAATAACTCTTGGATTTCAATGAAAAATATGCTCATTTTTCTCCTGGTTTTTCTCCTGATTTAAAAAACAATTCTCCTGAAAAACTCCTGATTTTTTTCGAAAAATCCCTGATTTCTAAATTTTCGATTTGGCAACCCTGTTTAGGATGTACAACTCACTGGGTTGACGATACATGGAATTTATATTCCTTCGAAATATTTTGTATATCATTTAATACTCCAAATAAAAAAGCACCTAATCTGCTGAAGGTAAGTGCAGTCGAACATTTAAAGTATTCCAAAAATTTGAGTTTCATTATTCTCTATAATTTTAGGTCTTGAAAAAAGGTTCATCTATTTATGATCTAACAATATATATGCGAGATATTATTTGGGTTACTGATCGTGGGTCAAATATTAAAAATATATTAGAAGAATATGAAGTTGTATTCTGTTCAGCACACAGAGTCAACAACATTCTTGAAAGACTATTTTGTCTAAGTGAAAAAAGAAAAAGAAAAAGAAAAACTTACAATTACATGATGAATTTCAAGAAGATGATGAAGAAAAAATGACTGATTCTGAAGAATCAAGTGAAGATTATGATGATAATGCTATGGATTTACAACAACATCCACCAACAAATCAACGACGACAACATCACCAACAAAAAATAAATAATTCTACGTCAACCATTGTGACAGTTAAACATAATCATTTAGTTATGTTAGAGTCAGAGATTCCACCTGAAGCAACACGTATTATTACTTTAATTCTTTGTGTAAAACAGTTAGTAAAATATGTTAAATTAGTATGTGTTTCATAAAACTTCTCAGAAAACTATATTTAATGATAAAACCTTTGTCTCAATTATTTTAGGTAAACATTAATCAAGCTCTTGAAGATAAAAAATCTCCTCGATTAATACAAAGTACAATCATTCGATGGTTATCAATGTTTGATTGTCTTGAAGTTGTGCTAAGATCATTTTTACCATTAAATGAAATATTTGAAGAAAAAGAATTAAATAAAAAACGTTTAGAAAAAATAAATGTTGTTTTATTGGAAAGAATCATCGAATTCTTGAAACCATGGAAACATATATCAACACGATTACAATCGACGAATATACCATCAATTCACGTTGTTATACCTGGTATTGAAAGTTTAAAAACAAGATTGGAATCAATTTCTAATGATACAAAATTCGCATATGAAAAAGGTAAGCATTATTGAAATAAATGATTATAGTTAGACTATTTTCGTTTATATGTGTTATAATAGATATGATGTTTTTTCGTCAACGTGGAAAAATATTGATTGACGCAATGTTTGATTATCATCCCATTCATCTCATGGCTTTATTCTTAAATCCAAGAACTAGAAAAATGAAACAATGTACCAATAGTCAACGACAATCATTTTTAGAATATATTAAACAAGAAATGATTATGTTTGATGCATTTGATAGTGATACACTATCAATTGATAACAGTGACAAATCAAAACGTAAAACATATGATAAACAAAATATAACTGATCGAATAATGCAACAATACTATGAAGAAGAGGATGAATATGATGATTTACCAGCAACAACTACTGCAATATATCAGGCAGAGATCGATAATTGCTTGAAATTTGGAATATATAAATCAAAGAATCCTGCTCTACCAATGCTTCTCCATTATCTGATCAAGAATATAATCCATTACATTTTTGGAAGCAAAATCATTCATTATATCCACGTTTAGCAAAAATTGCCAAACGAGTATTTACAGTACCAGCAACTAGTACTGCTATTGAAGGGAAGTTTTCTTTGGCTGGAAATATTGTAACTAAAAAACGTTCAAAATTATCTCCCGAAACAGTGAATGATATTATTTTTCAAAACTCGTTTGAAAAATATAAAAGAAAAAATGCACAAAACAAATAAGCGACTTCAAGAAATGGTATTTATAAACATTTGAATGTTTTTTTTATATTCTTACTTTTTTTTAATATGTGTATGTCCTCTAGTGTCTTTTGCTTTTTTTTGTATAGTACATATTTATATAAAATTAACTATTTTGAACACGAACAAAAATAAAGATAAACAATAATTAGTACAAAGGTAAATATTTATACATATTTATTATAATTACAATCATCCAAGCTTAGATACGCGAGTTAAAATGAAGATCACAGTCTTAGTTATCTTTATACAATTTTTTAAGAATTTCATTTTCGGTTCAGTTCGGTTCGGTTCGGTTCAGTTTTAAAGATTTCGGTTTCGGTTCAGTTTAAATTCTGAAAAATCCGAACTGTGCCCACCACTGCCATAAATGATGTTATAAATGTATATATTGTAAATTATTGGTTACTTCAGTCATTTGACGAACAAATTGAAGTTTTTCATTTGTATCTAAACATTTAACAAGTTTAGCACCATTTTCAATTGCATTTGATAACATTTGTTTAAATATCTGATCAGAAATTTTTAAATATTGTGGTTTTAATTTTTGTATATAATTCATAGGTCATAATTCATCGTTTTCTTCTAGGTTATTATCATTCACTACTTATAATATTTGATTATTTGTTGTTGCTGTTGTCTTTTTCATCTTTAAATTTTCTTGTGATATTGATAATTGACTGAATGATCGATTCACATGGATGTCATCTTTATTCAAATCTTGACGTTTACGTTTATTTTCGGATCTTATTTGATTTTGATTATTTAATAAATAATTTTAAATATGATCAAGAAGTATAAATAGAAAACTATTACTTCTCCTGAAATGAATTAGAAGCATACTTGAATTTATTGTTGTTCTTCATCTTCTGAATCGTCATTATCATCCTCGATAAAAATGACACTTTGATCCAGATGATTTGTATTATGATTCATTTTTTGTTGTTGACGACGTTGTCTTCGTCTTAAACATTGTGATTTTTGATTACCACAACACTTCTTCTTCTTCGTCTTTTGTTGTTTCTTATCGTTGTTCAAGTTTTGTTCTCCAGTCAAAACTTGTGTTGGTGAAAGTAATTCATACCAACAACCTTGAGCATCTTGACTTGGCGTTTTTATTGGTTCATTATTATTATTATCGTCTACGTTCATATTTTAAAATCAATATTTTATCTAGAATCAAAACGAAATTGCTCGATTAAATAATGCATTTAACAAAGAAGATATGTAATACTAAAGCTGAACAACTATTACAAGTTTTATTAAGTATAATTCAAAGAAGAGAACAAAAAATGGAAGTGTTTTATTTTTGTTTTTTTGAATTTTAAATACATTGCCTAACATGAATATTCTTCAATGATGACCTATAAAAATAGAAGAGAATGTTGAACGATAAGAAGTATTTTGTAATTGTACATACATTATTAACCACTTTTGTTGTCTGGTAAGGATCGAAGACGAAGTGATGGTCGTTTATTAACTAAATAATCGTTAATTGTTAAAGGTGTTTGTGGAGGTGGTACCAATTTAAATTCAATATCATTGAATGCTTCCTTATTGCTCGAATGATTTTTTAATATATTAAGAAGAGCATCTTCGATTTTGACTGCCATTTGTACATCCCAATTATTTAGATATGGAACACATAATTTTTTTGTTTTTCATTTTGTTTTGTTTATTCTTTCGATGCTATTTGTTGTTCGTAATTGTTGAGAACATGTTGTCGAAGAATTTCATATGGAATAGTATCGAATAGATGTTGAAAGTTGATTTTAATACCAAATCATTGTAAAATTCATGAATACATTTACAAATAAAACTAATTAGTTGGTAAAACATTTCGACAATTATGACAATATTATATGGTGAAATAGATATTTACTACAGGGCAAAACATAGTGTTAGATGAGTTAGCAAAGTATACAGTATTTGTTACGTCATATTGTCAGAGAATTGAAGTTATGATGTTCATTAATTTTGCAATCACTGAATATTATATAAGAGTCAAGTGGAGAATATCCGACATCGCATGTCAGATGAAAATTACTATTATTTTTTCTTTCTCTCAATTTGAGTGTGAAGCAAACATTAATTATATTGGTTCAATATGAAGTCAGCTACAAAAAAGGACAAAATCAACAATAATCTAGAAAATTCACTCGAAAATTCAATCGTTTCAACAAATCTCTACCAGCATATTTCCTTCACTCCTTTGTGTATAAACGGAGCTTTTTTTCTATCGTTATGAAAGTCGATGCTTCAACAGTTGTAGGTATGGATGTGGTTGTGACTGAAATGATAGCCAACACTCATATAAAAAGTGAATTACTTAAAAATTTTCGAAATATCATCATTTCTGTCATAGCATTCGAAACCATCCATAATGGAAATATAGAAATTCACTCGATGTGTCAGAAAATACCAATATATGAGACGTAAATTTTCGAGAAAATTTCAGCCATTAATTATAGACTAGCTAGTTTCGTATTTAACGTACTCAACACAAAATAAATGAGAGACTTTCTGTTACAAAGAACGGATTCTGTTGAATTCTTAATAGACATAACATTCTATAAGATACCAGGTCACATGGAGATCTTTGCTTTATAGATGATGCTCTTTGATAAAAACATTATCACACACACACACATCATTTTGTTCTTCTTTCAATGAGAATAACTAAGTAGTAAGTGAAAAACTGATAAACGAAGTCGAGAGTGTTTCAACAGAAACCTTTGTGTACTTTCTTTCTCATGCTGGGGCTATATTCTTACGAGTAATATTTATTTTGTATATCTTTCATCTTCTTTTGTTGTTATCTCTAGATGAAGAATGTCAACAGTTATCGTTTACAAATAATCATTCGTTTGCTTTGTTCTGTCGTCTTGTTTTTGTAAAATAATTTCATTGATCTAACAAGAATATTGTCGAATCGATTGAAAATTTTAGCTTGAAAAGTTTTCAAGTGGATGGAAAAATATAAAGCAACAATTGGAATTCTACTATTATCATTTGGATGTTATTATTTATTTCAAAACAGTTCAACAATTAAGCAGAATGATAATATTCTTATTCGGATGAATTCTACAACTCTAATTTTCATCATATTTATCATTATTATTTCTTCATTATATCTAAAATTTGTATTTTTTAATCATCAAAACAATAACAAGAAAAAAAAAGAAAACATTGTAGAAGAAGAAGATAAATATGTGAAACGAGCAAAACGAATGGTCGATCGATGGAGTGGAAAACAACAAGAAATTAATCGAAAAAATCCAATAAATGCAATGATTCTCAATAGAAATTCTGTTATTCAAGATTATTCATCATTTTATAATGAAACATCTAAATCAATTCCAATATTTACTGAATGTGAAGTACTTGTTGTGGGCGGTGGACCCTCGGGAATATCAGCTGCTTTAGCAGCAAAACGAGCTGGAGCTGATACTATTCTTTTAGAAAAATTTGGTTGTTTTGGAGGAGTTATTACAACAGTCGGCATGGAAACGATCGGATGGTATAGATATGAAGGCACAGTTGAATCTCAAGGGGGAATTGGAATTGAAATGGAAAGAATTGCTGCGAAAATGGGAGGAACCATTAAATGGCCTTATAATGATAGTCAATGTTTAGATGCTGATTATTTCAAAATTGTTGCAGATCATCTTCTAACTGAAGCTGGAGTACGACCAATTTTACATTGTTTAGCAGTAGAAGTTATGTTAGAAAATAATCAAATTATTGGAATTATTACAGAAAGTAAATCAGGTCGATTAGGAATACGAGCAAAAAGAGTTATCGATTGTACTGGAGATGCAGATATTGCATATTTAGCTGGTTGTAGTTATCATAAAACTCCTAAAGATGAAATGTTAGGAGTTAGTACAATATTTTCTTGTTCAAATATTGACAAAGAACGATTTCTTAAATATACTGAAGACAATCCAGCTACTTATGCTGACTGGGGTGGATTTTGGACACAAGAAACATCTGGAAAAGAAGATCAACTACGAACTCCATATTTAGATAAAGAATTTCAAAAAGCAAAAGAAATTGGTATTATTCCAAAAACATCCAATATTGGTGGATCATGGTCATCATTGACAGATGCTGGTGAAGCAACAAATCTTAATTTAGTTTATATGACGAATTATGATTGTACAAATGTCATCGATTTAACAAAAGCTGAAATGGAAGGAAGAAAGGAAACTTTACATGCAATTATGGCTTTAAAACATGTTGTTCCTGGTTTTGAAAAGGCGAAATTAAGAAATTTTGGTATGACACTTGGTTGTCGTGATTCACGAAAAATTATTGGTCATTATAATTTAACAGGAGATGATGTGAAAAATCAAGCAAGATTTTATGATAGTGTTGGCATATTTCCAGAATTTATTGATGGATATAACATTATTATTCTTCCTACAACTGGACGTTATTTTGAAGTACCATATAGATGTTTATTACCATTAGAAATCGATAATCTTTTAGTTGCTGGAAGATGTGTTGCTGGTGATAAAATATCTCATGCTGCAATGAGAAATATGGCTGCTTGTACAGTCACAGGACAAGGAGCAGGTGTTGCTGCAGCAATATCATTAAAACAAGATGTTACAACAAGTCAAGTAGATCTTGAATTAGTACAAAATGAATTAATTCGTCAAGGTGTGAGGATCCATTAAAAGATTAAGTTAGAAAACCTAAAAAAGAGTATCTTTCTTTCTATGAAAGTAAACTTCATAATGTAAACATCATCTTTTTTATGTCTAATAAATTAAAAATTTCAAATAATGTGGAAATAAAGCACAAAAAAGAAATTGAATCCATTTATATAAATACTACAAATTTTCGATAGAAAAATAAAATAGATAATGATTCATTGTTTCTAGCACATATTTAAGTTAGAGGTACTTCTCTATAGAATACTCGAAAAATGTATGTACACACGTGACAGTCTGTTTAGATAATGGTTATTAAATATATGATGTCATGATTTGTTGCCCGTCCGAACGAATTAATGCTACGACCAATACAGTAACAGAAAACAAATGAAAAAGTTGCAAAGATGATCAACGATAGCAATTGTTACAAAACTGTAAAATCGCGAACAAAAAAGTGATGGCAGAAGTCGACTGATTCGAGGATACACATGAAAAAAAGATTTCGCAGCGATACTGTTCGATCAGTCCCATTACTTCTCCAACTCTTAATTGAACTTTCCTTTCAAGCTCTCGACCATATTGATGTACGAACAGTTTCTATTTTCTAATGCAACGTCAGTGTGTAGTTGTGTACGACCTCGATGACTAAACTTGAATTCGATTTTAAAAACTGATTTTGATCTAATTTGTTGTCTTATTCGTCCGAACCACTGTCATTTTCTGAACACTTCCCGATACAACGAAGACATCAGGTCTAATCGATTTATTTGTTTCGCCGAAGAAAATTTCCTAATTCAATCAACTTCGATTCTTAGAAAGCCTTTTCTTCATAATCTCAATTTATTGTTACACTTGAAAGTGCTTGTACAAAAAAATCATAGATATCTTCTTGATTCTTGATTGACACTAAGAACGAAGGTATAATCTATCATTCATCGCTGTAGTTGAAGATAAAAGGGCAGAAGACAAGATCGACGCCCTGTATTCAGCTCTTTCATTTATCTCATGCAGAAAGAGTGACTAAAGTGATTGTTTTTTCTTGTAGAATCCCAATGAAATACATCGTTGTAAAACAGAAACAAGCCCAGATCTGTTTTTTAAAGCATTTTAATCTTTTCACTAGATATTGTTCGATATATACGTCGAGAAATATTTCATTCGTGAATAAGAGAAAAGCTGTTAGTCATCCAAAGAACTAGTGATGCGTCATGCTGAGTTCATTTCTATATTTTCTGATCAATAATTGTTTTTTGTGTTTTATTGGAAGAAAGAAATAGACCAAGAGTATCCAAATAAACGAAGACATTTTCACAAAATCATCTTTAATAGAGCTCTTTACTATTTCATCCATCTTAGTTTGCTATATGCTCTTTGAATATTCTCCAGTACCCTGTTGCTGGTCGATTAAATCCTATGTATTTGAATGTTGTGTGCGTAAGAGTGAATGTGAGAGTAATGGTCTTTTCCTTATCCTCTCTCCCTTCCAGCTTCCATTCCTCACTGTCACAATCTATTCACAGTATCATTATCACTCCCATCCACCTTTTTTTGTGTCAAATTCTATATGTAGTTATTCTACCAAGTTCAATTATTTCGAATGTTTTGTTGATTTAAGAACACATACTGCCGCACATATAGCATAAAAGATATTACAAGACACTCATATCCAATATATGAAATGTTTTTTTTCTGTCTTGTTATAGGAATTCATTTCAAAATTCGTATTTCAGGAATTTATCCATTGAAGAAATTCTTATATAAAATAGACTAGAAACCAAAACACAATAAATTATCATTTTTGTTCTATACAATTTAGTCGATTAACTAGACTGTAAATCTTCAATATTATTCATTTGATAATGTATTGTCTTTTGAAAGAATACAAACTACTGTCACGGAAGCAGTGTTGCTAAATTTATATTGAAAATAAATCGTTTAAGGTAACTGGCAATGATGTTAGAGACAATTCAGCTAAATATTAATCTTCTTTCTTTACGAAGAATAAATGATCGTTATAATACAAAAAAAAATTCATTTCTTTTTTATGTTATCCAATAATTGAAAATGATAAAAACTGTTCATTTCAATTGAAACTAAAGTAAATAATTTTCTGTAAAAGAATTCTATGCTGAATATACAATTGAAATATAGTTCGACAACGATTTCTTAAGATGATGTCGATAAGAAAACAAAAAGGTCTGATTAGGGATGATTGTTGTCAGATAGCTAAACATTTTATGGATGCTAACATGATGATGATATCGATTCTACATAGAATGCTTTGATCGACGACAATAAATTGTAAATAACGAAGGAATTCCACAATACTAATATCTTAAAAATACGCTATATTTTTGTCTTCGTACGTAACTATCATAACAACAGTAAGAAAGTAAATATCAATAATATTTAACAAATTTATGAAAACAAAAAACAACTGATCTCAACTAAAAGTTATATGAAATCGCACGTTGGATTCTCTTTTTTTATCATAATAAAGATGAGAAAGACAAACAACTATTTTTAGGTTTTCTTATTTATACGCATCATAGTAAAGAAAAATAAAAGGAAAGAAAAAAAGTCATTGAGGTCAACAGAATAAATGAGGTGAATGAGTACAAAAATCGAGCATACTCGTTGAATAATCCATCTCTTTCAAAATTTTTCATATTTCGAAAACGTTTTCTCAAAAATAATATTAAACAATTCGATATTAATCTTTGTTCAAATGAATTTCTTATTGAGTTCACTTTCTTATTGGCATAGCTAATAACAAAAACAAAATCGGTGTTTTTTACTGAACATATTAGATTATTTCTTTTTGAATAATTCTTTTCGACTCGAAATATATTCTCAAAACCAAATGAACGTTTTGCTTACTCTAAAATTTAGTAAAACAACCTTGTTTTATTATTTCCATCAACAAACTATATCACAAAAATGAGTCTTAGATAGATTAATTCAAACTTTCTTTAACATATTCTACGACTTTTGTCTTGCTAGTTTATTATAAAAAAAAACACAATAAAATAAAATAAGAGATAAGATGACTACTTTTTGTAACGATCAGGAATTCCTTCACCAGCTTGTCCCGGTGTAGTCTTATTGGTACTAGTTCCTGTTTGACCTTGAGTACCAGAATTACCACTAGTTGCACTAGAATCGTTCGCCTCAGGTAATACTTGTCCAGGATATGCAGACTTTGCGTCTGTTGATCGAAAGTCGCTGCTCGACTGACCACTTGTCGAACCAGTTAAAACAGCTTTATCCGAGTCCTTGTTCGATGAATCACGATTCATTTTCGTTTCGTTTCCACTTGATATTTTTTCTTCGATCTAAATATAAGAAAGGTCATCAAGTACAAAAACTTTCACTGAATAATTCAAATGCAATATTTCAGACGTGATTATCACTCATTTTAATTTCCATCCTTATTTAACTGACTCGTATCTCATATGAAAAAACATTTTATACTAAACAGAACCTTATAAACGACGCAGAGAGAGAGAGAAAGAGAAACATAGAAAAATGAAAGACAGAAAAAAGAATGAAGGACCAATCATATGATTAGATAAAAATAGAAAATTTCGAAGGTTTTATATCAAATTCTATTCATATTGATATTTTTTTATCGACTTTGTTCTAAAATTATTTTATTTGAAAAATAAAAATTTTAACACTCATTAATTTTATAAAAATAGAAATCAAATCTTCTTTCTTTTTCTAATAAATAAAAATGAACCAAATATATTACTTATGAATTTGTTTTATAAAATAATCTATCGAAAATCCTCAATCAAAAAGAAGACATTTGTAAATTTACAATAATTATGATAAACATGCATATAAACTATAAAACATTGATAAGAGATTATTTCAATTATCTGGAAAAAGAGCCGATTTGAATTTAAAACATTATTTTTTTGTCCAGATATTTTGAGAAAAAAGATTTTATTTTATCATTTATGTATCTTTCATATTTGAATGCAATTTTTAAAAAGTCTTTCAATTATTTGAAATGATTGTAGTCAAACATAAAAATATTCTTTAAATTATTTTACAATAAATATCTCATTTTATCAATTAAAGTAAACAATACTTTGACTTCATTTCATTTAAATAGAATATCGGACTTGACAGTCATAAAATTTAGAGGTTTTCCTAATAAATCAATCAGTTATTTGAGAAAAGTCTTGAAAAAAAAAAGCTTTTATCATTAAATTCAATGAGAATGTTCGTTTTTTTTATTAAATGTAGAAACAATTCTTTTGATAAATAAAAAAAGAAGATACTATTAGTTCTTTTCAGCATAAGATTTGCCGATCTTTGATGATGAAGTAAGTAGAATCTTGAAAAAGTATGTCAAAGTCTGCAATAATACAAAGAAGTATAAGAAATACAAAAGTATACTTTTTCGTCGTTTCGATACACAAAAATATGATGAAGTACAGAAGCATACTTTTTTTTATCTTATAGATGAACAATCAAATAAAGAAGAAATTCTTACCAATAAAAGAAGAAAAGTATGCATGTATTACTTTTATCATTTATTTGAATAATTAAATAAAAAGTTCTATTTATATCATTATATATTCATTATATACTGATTATGAACGATGAATTTTGATTTATGTTAAACAAGATTATCTCAAAAAAAAACGAAACCTTTCGTTAATGATTAAGTATTTAATTTCGAATTAATTCTGTTATTCTTTTACAAATGAAAATTGTTTCTTCATAAATTATAACAATATTGTATTAACAATATAAAGACTTTTCCATAATAGATAATCATTAATAGATTTGTCTCGAAATTCTTCTTTTTTATAAAATTGAAAAAGTTTCTTCTATCAGATGATAGATAAATGAATATGTAAGCAAATATTTTTAGAAGAATTTTTACGAACGTTTAACAACAATATTTCTATTTATTAATCTCAATGGTAGATATTTTGGAATCATTGATTTTTTAGTGCTATCACGATAATGATCATATCCAATGTTTATACTATAAAATTTGCATTAGAAAAAAACCAAATAGAAAATTTATCGTGACATGATTTGATTTTGACAAGTATGTTTACTGAAATTTTTTTTGTAGTCAAATTTCTTTCTTTTTTTTTCCTTATTTTGATATCGTTACTACCAGGCATCAATCTATCTAATTGTTTTGTTCGTTTCTTTCGTTTCTTCATCTTCTCTTTCGTTTAGTTCGAATCAACATATAAAATCGAAAGACAATACCAAGAAAGAAACAGACAAAGAAATAGAAGTAACTTATCCAGACACGTTCTTACATTCTTTTATTTCTACTATTTCATTCTTTCTGGTTGGAAGTCTGTCAGCTGACAGAGAAACTATAATGACACCTGGCATTAATGATTTACTCGATCCTTCCGTATGTTCTTGTTTTCCTACTTCTTATCACAATATGATCTGTAACAAAATTAAATGGTCTACTTTATCGATTAGCATTGCTTTAATAATCATTGTAAATAGATGAAATTTATATATAAAAACTTATTACTCGTTATATTTTCTACACATATAGATCGTCTATGCAACTAGTGGATTGTACACTTTGATTGATATAACAACATTGATGTCGATGCATTTATATAATGATAGTAATGGTATATGTAATTTGATTAAATTTATATAATATATTTGTAATCATATGTTTTGTTTCTTAGACACGATTCTATGCCCCTTTGTATCATGTCAAGTGACAATTATTTTTGATTGGATATCACTTTGTGTCTACTTTACTATTGCTCTTTTTGTTATCTTTCTTCTTTGTGCTATTCAATTAGTAAATTTATTTTTTGTGATATTAAATTGATAAATGATTGACTTTATTTATTAAGAATAAACCGTGGCTTTTATTTCTTTGGTCAATATTAATGATTTTCATGCTACTTATTGATGGTATTGTTACTATACTTTCTCTTCGACAATATCAACAACAGGTCGATTGATTTTCATATTAATTTCAATATCGAGTTTAATATTTATTCCTATCATTTAGGTTTATCGACCATCAAAACAAGTGAAAATTCTATTTTTACTTATGATTATTCGTCTCATTATTTCAGTTAGTTTAAAAATGAGTCATGAAATAAATAATATAATATAAATGTTCTTTTTTTTTCTTGTTAAGTTGTTTGGTATATTCATAACTGTTTTTCATTATCGTCAATTAAACAAAGTTAAATCAGAATATTTAAATAGACAGGTAAGTAGGATATTAAATATTATTTATATTCAGTTCATATTTTACTATTGTAGAGAATGTTACTTCGTTATAATACCGAATGTACATCTCCATCATATGATAATTCATGGACACGTTCTGTTGGTTTTTTGAATCCATCAAAAGATACTAGTGATGATCATTATATACTTGATCTTCCATCATCTATATCAGTATCAAGAACAAAAACTGCTACTGTTCAACGTCATCTAAAATCAACTATGGTTCATTCACGAAAATCACTTAACCCACAATTAGAATTTACAGAATATCCTTATCAACGACCCATAAATGAACATAATGAACATTTTCGATATAATATACCATTACAAGAAAGATTTTATCAACAAAAAATAACAGCTGTTGAAGAACTCTAAGATAATCAAAAAATATATGATCTCTTTGAATATGACTTTTAGTTTAACGTAAACTTTTTTGCTATATTTTTGTAAATATTGTTATCGGACAGTTATTATTATTATTATTATTATTCTTTTAGGAAGCCAACAGACAAATGGATGTCTGCTATGATTATGGTCAAGTCTAACACAGGTTTTCATTTTTCCGATAGAATATTTTTCATTATTGATTAAAATTGTTTATTAGCTTTGAATTAAAATGAGGGGAAGCAGATCATATTAACAATCTTTCCATAGAAATTAAATAAAATTTCTTCATATTGTCATCAAATACATTTCGACTGTTTTTTTTAATATTTCGAATGTTAGGATAAACTTTCAGCTAAAGACAAAAATATTGAACATTTTGTATATCGACTAAAATAATTTCATTATTTTTTTTTTGAGTATTTCTTATAATAAAAAACCAATTGCATTTACATTTTATTGATTTTCTATTATTTACTCATTGACTTCTTTGAAATATATATTGATCATCATTCATAGTTTAAGACACACACACACACACACACAATGAAAAAAGCAGAAAATGAAACGAAGAAAAAAAAAGAGAAATAACATATTTAAATGAAAGAAAAAGAAAAATAGAAAGTTAATTATTTTTAATATATATTGCCATTCGATTGATGATGTTTGGTTCTTTGTGCTGCAGCAACTTGTTCTTCTTGTTGAAGACAATCGGCGAATGCTTGTAAACGTGTTTGAAGTTCATCTAATATTTGTTGACGTTCTAATAAATTACCACGCATATCATTAACAAATTTTTCTTGATCATAATCAACTGTATCTTGTGCTTGTTTAACAATTGTACGTAATTGTCGTGTAAGTATTGGTTCTTTATGAGTTAAAATTTCTTGACATGTATCAAATAAAGCTTCTTCATATTCTTGTAAATGTTCAACTTGTGCTGCATATGAAGCTAATGCTTCATCTTGTTCATCATCATCAACAATATCATCGTCATTATCATAACCATTTTGTCCATCATTTGATGATGAACTTGTACTATCATTTGACGAAGCTGAACCATCACGATGATGAGGATAATGATGATGATGATGATGATGATGACGATGTTTATTTTCTTTATTATCATCGATTGGTAAACCTAAATTAATACTATAAATAAAAAATAAATCTATATAATTATTTAATCAAACCTTTCGGTACTCGATTCATTTTTATTTCATCATCTTCATTTGATGGAGTTTCACTATTATCACTAGCTCTTAATTCTTTGACTCGATCAGCATAACGTAATGTATTCATTGTATTTTCTACATCGGAATGTGTTGGTGAAACCATTGCAATCATACAAACTTTTGATTTATCACCAATAAATGAATCACGTAAAACTTTTGTTAATGTTGAACCACGAAATGGTACATGAGTACCATCACCACGACCCAATGCACGAATACATTCTTTAAGTGCTAATAAAGATTTATTAATTTCTGAACCTTCCATACGTTGAAGACGATCACCACTTGCTGTATCTTTACCACGTTCGGAACCAGCTAAATCGATTAAAGACATTTTACCAATTTCTTTTACAATACGACGAGGTACTGCAGGATTATTATGATTATTATTACGGGATGATGATGATAATGATGATATATTTGAA